GGAATTAGGGCACCTGTTACATTCTGCACAGTTTACATGCCCCAAGGCAGATATCAATTAATACTGAACAAATTACTGTATCACAAGCCAGCAGAAGTTACTCATTATATGTTGATAATGCTACCCACAAAACACCTATGAAGATCTAAACATAACTCTTGTGGAGCAAAGTTTATTTCAAACATGCTCAACTTAACCCCTGCAAAAAAGGGGTAAATGCATGCACTATCTCCTTTTTTTTTTTTTTTTGCATAGAGAAACGTACATCATGGATTGTACGTGTGTGTATGTGTGGAGTTTTAATTTTAACAAACAAATGAAGTGATTTTTGACTGAGTGGTGGTAATGTCGCAAAATAAGAAAAGCATCAGAAACAAATTCTTTAACTTTGGATGTGTAACAGGTAACTGTGCTAGCGGATGTAGTAATGTGTGCAGAGAGAAGTACGCTATTAGAGGAAGCTTCACTTTAAAGAAACAGAAGACTATTTTGAAAAAGTCTACAGTGATATACCAACTCAATTTACATTGTGTTCCTCCGCTAACAACAACAAAAAAACCCAAAATCACAGCAATTCAATTACATTCAGTAATACTAGAAGTAAAACAGTATATTTTGGACTTTCTGAATTTAAATCATTTTGTTCTTTGCAGAATCACTATATTTATAAAATGTAAAGAAAACTGCAAGACTGCGCACCGTACACTTACGTCCATACTAATGAACATAGACCTATGCATTCTACAGCGGAGAGCTCAAGGAGCTAAACTGAGAAAGGCTCATATTTTAGCAAAGCGCTGGAGCACCTGCCAACAGAAATTTAAATGGAAAATGTGAATCACACCAGCCCTCTTCCTCTATATTTGCCACATCTATATAACTATTGCCCTTCACACATATTAAGGCAAAAGTAATCTTACCGCTAAGTGCACTTGAATTTGTGCTAGCAGATTCTTCCTAGTTCATTACCATGCTAGTCAGAAATTCCACTAAAATGTGCATGGATACAGCTGATGCATCGTATCAGAAGCAAAATTATCCTTTCCACTGAGCCCTTTTACCACAGGAGTCTCAAAAAGGCTATTTTATTCCTGCAATGAGACTGCAGCTTGTAATTATAGGCCTCTTATTGCCGCTGAAACAGTAACCCTCAACACCAAAATGAACAGTCCCCACTGTGCTGGAATGCCTTACTATAGCCCATTTATCCCGAGTAATTCACAATTCACATGGAAAAAAAAAAAAAAAAAAGGTGATGTGCCAAGTGAATATAAGGAACAGTAGAACTAGCTTAACAAGAAAGCAGAAAATAAAAAGCTACCTGAGTTCAACCTTCTGCACATGACACTGATTCAGAAGACTGAAATTTCCGAAAACATTGTGAGCTTCATTGGCTATCCCTGACTGACCCACAACTCAAGTAGCATCAAGGGGATGCCTCACTCCAAATGTCACTGCAGACAGCAAGAGTCACAGGAAGAAACTGCTAGTGCTAAAATACTTTTTGACAGATTGTACCTTTCTTTTCTCTACAAACTTTTCTCCTCCTTCCCCCCACCCTGAAAGGAACTTGTTAGCGGCCAGAGAAGCTTTTTTCAAGCTTGTCTCCAAAAGGAAGGTGAGGACTGGGGCTGAGACAAACAACATATCTCTCAGACCAGCAAGTCTACAGGAGGTGGAAAAATCCTTGAGTGGCATGACTTTCGAGCAAGAATCCATGCAGAATAATCTTAAACAAATAAATATGGTTTTATTCCTTATGAAAAAGGGTCACACAGTCTTTTGTGAAAAGCTACACAGTTAATTGCAGAGCTGTCTGTCTGTCTGTTTAAACACACTGTATTCCCTCAGAGCCCTTAAGACACTTTCAGAAAAGCCTTCGTGTTTGTCAACCCTTCCCTTCCTTTTGTTAGATATGCTGCCTTACTAACGCTACAAAAAGCAGTGCTGTGACCCAGCTTTCATGGCAAAGAGTCTTCCCACACTTCTAAATTTGCAAAGTATTCTGATGAATGAACCCAACACAGAAATGAAATGGCTCCCGAAGCCACTTTCCTCAGCAGTCCCTGCTGTGCTGATGTTTTATTTATTATTTAGGAGTAGCTTCTGGATAGCTCATGGTATAGGATGGTACCTCTTCAGGTTCAGCGGCAAATTATTCACTTTGGAGAAGTGTCTGGAAGGAACAGAGCCCAGTTTGTTTTATCAGGCAGAAAACACTGCGTTTAGAGGGGTGATATAAACTGCGATAGGATCGTGCCTGAAGAATTTGATGTCAGCCTGTCTTACTTCATTGCTCCAACTGCTGATCTTGGCTTCAGTGCTCAGCAGTGACACAAATGAGTTTTCCACCACAGTCCCTGAAGAGCCTGAAAAACTGTGCACACCAGGAGTGTTACACAGCCCTTCCCATCACCTGCGTTCCTTGCTCGTCTGAAGGGACTCAACTCATATGGCGGATCCCCCTGCTTCAATGGAAGTCTACAGCTTCCAGGGTCAGTGCATTAGCTGCTGTCTACATCCGCAGACGGCCAAGAAGAAGGATGATCAAGAAAAGCATAATTAAAGACACTGAGTTTAATGAAAAAAAGATGTCCAACAAGTCAAAAGCAGTGGAATTAGTGGCAAGAGATTTCCAAAATGAGGGGAACAGAAGATGTCAACTGAACTTTCTTGGTACCAGTGAGTGGAGTACCATAATTACCTGAATCCTACAGTAAGGTTTAAATTCATCTTTCATAAGCTGCCTTCATAAAATCTGCCTTGTTTAATAATCTGTATCTGCAAGAAAACACTTTAAAATGTCTCTCACAATTAAACCCAGCCACAACCTTGTATAAATCAAAATTTTGCTACCATATCAAAACGTTACACTGGGACTGTATAACGTTGCCCATATCCTCATTACATGCTACACTAATTACTACCAGCAGATTCAGAATTTTTTGCACATTAGAGGCTTTTAGAGGAGCTATAAAAAATTTCAGGCACCATTAATTTAAATTTGTATTGAAATTTCCTTTTGACAGATGGCCAAAAATTACTTATTATTTAGAGTACCAGAGCTGCCTGTTTGCACATTAGAAGAGAAAAGGGAAAAATTAAAAGCAGGAAGGAAATTTATGTCACGTTCATTACCTGTTAAATGTTAAGGAGCATTATCCTGCATGAATAAATTATTTCATACAAGCACACAGACTCCAGCTGCTGGCAACTGGCACGTTCTGGCTGACAAAAACCATCTCAAGTCACACAGCAGACAATCATAAAAAGCCTCTCTTAACCAGAAGCCACTTAAGGGAGGACAGATCGATTGAACAAGCGACTAACTGCTACTCTGGGCATCACTGAAAACATTCAAGGAAATTAGCAAACTATTTCACCTTGCAAAGCTGGCTGCAAGCCCCATATGTTGGCACATAATCCGACTCACAGCCTGCACACGAACAAGACAAACATCTATTTATAGCTACCGTTTGAAAATAAATTGCTACAAAGTAGTCACACCTTCCTCTCAGTCCCCAAAACTGTAGGCATAATTGTGTATTTGAGTCATGGTAACTAACTGCAAATGAATTAAACAAACCCAACCTTTTCTTGTATAAATATGCCCTGAAATATGAATGTTATCATAAATACCTCAATATCCCACAAAAATTATAGGAACAGGACTAAATTATCTTTTTTAAAAACAGTGATTAGTACACTCGATGTATTAATAGCTCCATTCATTTTATTGACAGAAAAGCTTGTATCCAGGTATGTGGACTCACTAAGAAAAACAGGTACTTCTCAGATTTGGAAATCTGCCCTACCTTTATATATATTTTTTGGGCGTAGGGAGTGGAAAAATTTACTGCTCTATTTGTCCATGTTGAACAGGAGACGCTCTAAGAAAATCTTCATTAAGTTGTGCATGAATTGCATAAAAAAATCCTCGTACCGAGCCCTTGTGACAAAGATGCTGAAGTGAAAATCGACGTGCTGTTGCCTTATACCTGCCAATASACAGCGTTGGTGCCTTTGCAGCTCACAGTAAAAAATGACAGCTCCTGTCAGCTCCTGGTTGTTATGCAGAGCCATGTAGCTAAAAGTAAAACTGACAACAATCAGCTCAATTTCATTTTGCTGGGACCCCACTAAGTTGCTGATGGCAGAAAAGACGTGGGGAAGGGTGCAGGACACGTCTGCACCTGGGAGCTGCCAGGAGAGCAGAGGAGCACACTGTCACTGCCAGTCTGCACAGCACCAGATCCCTGGTGGGGCAATGTCAAGCCCTGGGCAGCTTCTTCCTGCTCAGTCTACCTGGGACACACACATAACATCTTCGTGGCAACTATCTGGTAATCTTGTCAAAAATGCATAATATTTTGTTTAATTAACACCTGTTCTGCCATTTGGACAGCCCTAAGTGCAAATTATTTATCTCTCTAAAAACATCCCTGAAATGTTGGCAGCTCTTTGATTCCAAGTAGTCAGTCAATTGGACACTTATGTCTTACTCTTTGTGATATAACCATCTCTTACTTCCCATGCACCGTCAACTAAAAGACTTATTCATATGCTCCTAAAAATTGTGTGATTTGTTCAAGCTCTGACCCATTAATATATTATTTAGAAATATGTAGGCAGTCATGCAATTCGCAATGTAACTGGGTCTGCAGTGATTTGCTAAACTGGCAGTGGCAGCTAGGAAAGCAGAACGAGCTTGGAGAGGGCAATGGTAAGATGTGCTTCTGCTTCAAGTATTAAAACCATGGAGGCCTCTGTGAGTATTTGGTAGCTCTCAGGTATGGACCAAATAACCATGTGCAGTCCTAGTTATGATCCTAGAATTAGCCTCATTCTAAATGCGTTACATAGCCTACGTTTCTGCAAAACAACACGTCACAATCTAGTTTCAGTATGTGACGTTTTCCACAATTCCAGTTCATACTTCAATAAAATGCAGTGTGCAGCTCTTTTAAGTCCCTCCTTCCACCTATGAAATGGAGTCCTACCTTGATGGAGTCTCTGTCTGCAAGCAGAACAGCCACAACAGGCGAGAAAGGGAGGAGGAAGCGGTGGCGGCAGCAGCAGGCGATGGGAAAGTGGGGGGAGAAAGAGAAAAGTACTAGTTAGTTTACATAAAATTATACATTTATCTTACTTGGAAGAAAGAATCCTGATGTCTGTTAAATAATAAATTGCACAGATGTTAACTGTTCTGTACAGTTAATTATTAATACTGTACAGCCAGATTTATAAAACCCGATTTCTACCATTTGAATGTACTTTCCAACTACAATTGGGTAATAAATACTGAAGCAATTAGCTAGGAGTTCCTGCAGTATTTTTTTCCCCTGAAGAGGTGTTCTTAAAAGACAAGAGAAGAAAAGAAAAGCGAAAAAGAAAAGAACAAGGCCATGCACGTATGTGGCAGCGCCTACCTCTTTGGTGATCGTTTTCGTGGTGCTTCTTTTCGTCTTTAATCGGTAGGTGAGACTGCCCGCCCAGAGCACTGGACAGTGCGAGGAGGCCAGCGCTGCTGCCAATGGGTGGGATGGTGGGAGGCTGCAAGCCAGAGGGATGCGGGGTGAGAGGCACGGGGAGACCATGTCCATGCGACAAATGCTGAGCCTGGAGTTGTTGCTGCTGTGAAAAATGAAACACAGATATTGAATTTGCTTAGGGAATAGGGGCTCCTCCAATTGATCACGTACATCAGACGTAATTGATCAGATCGATCAATGCACCTGATTGATCCGAACAGATGTGAGGTCACATAAACATCCTGCTGTTTTTAAAATGTCCACAGTACAGTACTGCTACAGAATTAAGTAGCAACAAAAATAAGGGACTGATATAAGGGAATTTTCCAGTTTTGGTGAAATTCTTATTCTTCTGACAGAGCTATTATATTTTATTCTTTCTAGCAGAAACATACCACGTACATGTCTAATCAAAACATATGTAACTATAAAAGCAGTTATATAATGCAAAAAAAAAAAAGCTGAAAATCGAGAAAATTAGTGTTAAACAGTTCTCCCAGCACTACCGCACAGCATGCAGTGAGAGTTAATTTGAAAGAGAAAACCTGAATTAACAACCCAGAAAAGGAAACTGGTTGCAGCCACCGTTTTAAGCCCTTTAAGTGTCCTCAGCGGTACTTGAGAAAATTACTAAAGAAAATCTAATGTAGCAAGGCTTGGGTCCTCCTGTAGGCTTGCTCAATAATGCTGAAATAATTGGGCACTCTGTGCACGTTTAGTGATGCTCGAATGAAAAGCTAGAGGCCTGCCCTTGTACTCTTCTCTAGCTGCTGACTCTGTGTTGTGACAGGTTTATTTGAGTGGGACTGTGATGCATGCACCAGTAACTGCGCTGACAAGAGTTTAAAGTCATTTTTACCAGTACACTGGCAACACACAGAGAAAGCCCTTGAGAGGTTTGAATTGGAGTGCTTGACCTCAACCAAGGCTGTATCAAGCTCTGTGCAGTACTAACCATTGTGGGGTAGATAGTTTGTTTGTTGGTGTTGAAAAAAAAAAAAAAAAAAGGTTATGTTAAACATATTCCGAGAGAGATCTGTTCAGATTTACAGTTTGCCCACTAACCATCCAACTAACTGCTGCTTATATAGTTACTAGCTTTGAAACTTGCTTTCAGTTTTTAAGCTGTTCCTTCTCAAGACTCTAGTAAATTAAATCAAAAGACTTCTAAGATTTTACTCTCTCCTGCATGTCTTCATAAAGACCTTTAGAGAAGGAAGAAATAAAAATTTGTTTTATATAAGAGTATTCTTATATATAGTCCATTTTAAATTCCAAATTGTGAACACTCAGGTCCTACTTTTATTTGTTTTTCAGTGAAATCCAAATTCATTTCCTTTCACTCCCATTCTTGCTCTTTAATCGAGAAATAATACGTCATTCACTTGCTTTCTCTTCCTCTCCTTAGCATGAATTTTTTTCTAAGGGTAAGTTGAATGTGAAAGTATGCAAGTCACACACAGCATGATACACAGCTCATGAAAAACATTACATGCAATCTCTCAATACCTTACTACAAATATCTAGATATCCTTTTCTTTTCAAAATACAATCCACAGTACTAAGTCTGAGTGCCAGTTTCAAATATGTGTTATCCAACTTAGACCAGAGTCAAGGAAATGGGAGAAGGAAGGTGGAAGAAAAAAAAAGAAAAAAGAAAAAAAGACAACAACAACAAACCCCCACACAAAAGAAAGCTAAAAAAAAAAAAAAGAAATAAAAAAAGAAAAAGAAAACCACAGTTCTTCTAGGTGAAAAAGAATCAGTTCCTTCCTTGCTTGCAAGTCTATGTCATCCTGGTGGTTTCCTCTTTCTGCAGATGTATCAAACATATCTTGTTTGTTTGATACTCTCATGGAAGGATGCTTCATTGCTCAGAATTTAAAAWTAACTACAACAAATATGGAACAAGAGCCAACTGTGTATTGTCTAGCTTCAGGGACTGCCTTACAGCCACAAAGCAAGCTGTAGGACATAAAGAGTGAGCAGGGTAGGGGGCTTGGAGGACACGAATGGAGATGACAGAAAAGGGGGGAAAAAAGAAAGTCTCAATTTTCATTTAAGTAAGGGATTTTCAGCTCCTGTTTGTGAACATGCTATAAACCAAAGCAATAAAGTGCCTGCCTGACTTGGACAGTGGTTTTGAGAAGGGCCTGAGAATATTAGCAGGCACTATTCCCATCATGGACTGTATCACTAGTGATGCAAGGATGCAAGATAAGCACACGTGACACTGGACTGTAGAAGCTACACTGATCTGCCCACTGATCTACACAGTTCTCACTATTTCTGTGAGTAGAGGACAGTTTACAAAGATCTCTATGAAAAACACTTTGCCTGTGCAATTGTTGTTTGACTGCCATATGCTGGGAGTTTCTCTGCAGCCTGTGTCTGTCTTGCTAACTTCMATGTTCAGCATTAACACTTCTCAGAAATAATATGGATGTTAAGAATACTGTGTGTGATGACACCTAGGATTGCCATTGCCTCAGACCTTGTGATCACCCATAATACCATGTTTGACCCAAACCCTCCAGGCCAGAAACTGACGCATTTTCCCTGCAWGCTGAATTGCAGAACATGGAAAATAAGGAAAGAGAGGAAAAACAACAAAACAAACAAGCAAACAAAAAACCTCCTACAAACTCACAGTCTTTCTGCAAAGGAAAACCACATAGACAAACATATGAATAGATCAGGCTCTTGTTTGTAAGGTGATGGGAACTTGAAATCTGGAAAGAACATGGTCTCCACTGCCATGAAATTCTCATTCACTGGCATGGCATAAATTTGGCTTGATTTACCACACAAACACACCACCCTGGGATGAAAACAAAATTGTTAAATAAATACACTAAATTGTTAAATAAATCAAAGTGGCAAGCAAAATTCCATTATTACCCAAGATGTCTGTATATAAAGCCACAGGGAGACACAGACAAACCGATGATAATCATGATAGTCATTTYGTTAGACTGGAATGGAACTACAATTTTATCAAGAGATGAACTGAAAATTATAATTGTACTAGAGCAAGAGAAGTCCCTAACCTCTTCCTGATGCACCATATTGTATGTCAGAAGTGAGGCATTGGTCCAAAAGTAGAAATTAAGGCAAACTAAATGACTGGGCAGACTCCTGCCCTCAGACTACAGCACACAGTGAGGACAAAGCTGGCTATGATCATGAGGGGAAAAAAATAATAACCCTATGATGGTCCCATAATTAAGTATTGAGTACTAACACACATACGCTGGAGAAAGCAGAGACAGAAAGCACCAAAGCATTTCTACCRGTCACTTCCAGACCTTTGAAATCCATTACTGCATTCAAATTTCCACAACATTCACAGCTTGGTTTTACTTTTTCACTGCCTAGACATGTCATCAGTGAATATCAGCTTGCAGGGTGACCTGTACACAGCTGCTTGATTACAGAGGAAGTTAGAAAAATATAGGGTACTCTCTTATCCACTGGGCAGCAGGTTAGTGCTACAAAGTGCTAGAAAAAAAGTGTGTTTTTCACTCTATTTTTCAAAACGCCAAAGATACAGAACAGTAACAGACAGTTGTTTTCACATTGTCAGACATTCTCCCCAAACAGAAACATTGTACTATGGAAGAAAGTTTATATCCATTTCACAGAATCATATGGTTAAGGTTGGAAGGGACCTCTAGAGATTATCTAGTCCAACTCCCTGCTCCAGCAGGGCTCCTTTGGGAACACCCAGAGCATGGGGCACAGGGCGGCATCCAGGCGGGTTTGGAAGATCTCCAGAGGAGGAGACTCCACAACCTCCCTGGRCAGCCTGTKCCAGGGCTCTGTCACTCTCACAGGAAGGAAGTTCTTCCTCATACGGAGCTAGAACTGCCTGTATTTCAACTTATACCCATTACTCCTTATCCTGTCACTGGCCACCACCCAGAAGAGTTTGGCCCCTTCCTCCCATACATTCTCCCCTCAGGTATTTGTATGTATGCCCTTCTCAGTCTTCTCTTTTCCAGGCTAAACAGCCAGCTCCTTTAGTCTTTCCTCATATAATAGATGCTCCAATCCCTTAATCATCTTCATTACCTACATAATAGATCACAAAATCTGATACAATTTAAAAACTTGCAAGAAAATCCTAAAAGAGAGCCAACTGAGCAATCAGATAGATAGGTAGATAGATAGATAGATAGATAGATAGATAGATAGATAGATAGATAGATAGATAGGTAGATTTTGCTGTAATTCTTTTCCTTTTCCTCTCAGCTTTTTAATACACTATCCTTACTCAAGTCATTTATGAATACTTAGCATCTGGTTAACTTTAGACACCCCTAGAGCAGTTGAATCCAGTACTTAGGATGCTTAAAGTCAAGTATGCATGTGCTTTCAGGATCAGTGCACAACTTGTGCAGGCCGTACAACAGGATTTATTATGCTCCACATTTCCTATACTATTTAAAACGAAAACAGCAACAAGCAGGTACCAAGAAAGAAATCCTACACTATACTATTGGACTGCAAAGTTTTTAAGAAATGTCCAAGATATGAAAATACAAAAACAAGGGTCATCTCATTAATCAGAAGAAAGCAAAAGAAAAAAAATATATATTTTTGTTTCCAAAAATCACTCTTTTTCCTTTTTTTAGTCAGCACTGTATAAAAACTGAACTTCCCAAACAAGAGAGAACATCTGTTTGCTACTTTATTGCTCTCTACATTTCTCTGTACTTTTCCATATATTCTACAGTTACACAGATTGAGCAACACTAATTTTCACAACTGCAATTTTAAATATTGATGCTTAATTTAATTGTTTTCTCCACACAACCTTACAAATCAGATTTAAAGTAAAATGTGACAGTAAATACAAAAAAAAAAATAGCTTCTAATGGTCCCTCTGAGTCAGCACATTCAAATATTATTTTCCTGGAAAAGATTCAACTTTTTACTGGATACTTTCCAAGCAGCTCTGTGACACAGTAATCTACTCGTTTTCCCCTTATACACCCTGCAAGCTCACAGCCATTATCCAAACAACCTGAACATATTCCTCTAACCTGAAGCTATTTCTAAGGTTAACAAACTAATCTTTCAAAACATATTTCAGATCTA